ATATAAATTTTGAAAAGGAGGGAAGGAGGGAGGGAGGGGAGAATTGAAAACGTTTACGGTGTGATACCTGAAATGGTATTAGGGCGGTCCTATTTAATATTGTTCCCCAATAGGTGGTGTAATAATTGGATTAAAAATGAAATTGAATGCAACGACCCTGAATGTGTGAAATTATTTATAAAAAAAAAAAAATAATAATTTCAAAAGTTGTATAAAATCGTCATTGATTATTCACAAACGAAATAAATATACAGGTATTGATTGAAATTGAATGAAAATCATAGCGTAAATGACAATCTCCCTAAAAACAAAATGTCTGCCACGTTACCTTTTTGTCAAAAGTGCGACATTTTTTCCTTGTCGCACATTTATCATCATATCCAACCGTCATATAGATATTTTGAAAAATGACATAATTATTATTCTCTTACATAATTAATTTAAAAAATCCATTAAAAAAAACGTTAAAAATTATGACGTCATCAACGACAGCACCAGGTTCATCATCAAGTTAAGTAATAATTCAAAATAATTTCTATATAACAATGAAAAAAAATGGCAAAGGTTTTATTATTATTATTATTGTTGTTGTGGGTATCAAAACTCAGTTAATAAGTATTCAAGGTTATTATTATTATTATTTTTTTTTTTCAATAATTAATAATTTAAAAATATGATAAAAAATAAGAAGAATAAGAAAAAAATATGGCGGAGGAGGAGAATAATTTTTTTCTCTTCTATCAGCATTTTTATGTAAGAATATTTATATTTAAAAAAAATAACAACGTCGAATAAAAAATTGCTAACTTGATATTATTATTATTATTATTATATAATTCGTTCTAAACTTTTTTTTTTTTTTTTATTATTAATAATTAAACTTTTTTTTGATCATTTCTTTTTAATTATGTCAGGTGTTTTCCCTCCCTCCCTTCCTATTTCTATGTAAATCTGGTTGTGGAAAAAAAAAAAAAATGAGACAAAAACTATTAATAAACGAATTCGTTTGTTCGTTTGTTTGTTTGTTTGTTTTCTTGTCGTTTCAATAATTTATTTCGATTAAAGAAGCAAAAATATAATTAAGCAAAATAAAATAAAAAAAATTTAACTTTGGCAATATTTTATTGCAAGCCAACATAATTATATAGTTTTACTTAAATAATCAACTTTGGCTTTATTTCAACAAATGATTTTAAGGTGCGTAGGTAGGTTTTAAATATTTTTTTTTTTGCGATATTACTAATAATATTTATTATAATAAAAATGACGAATCTCTAAAATAAAAGATAAAAGAAAAACATATTAAGGCGTTTAATAATAGTTTACTTTGAGAGCTTCATCATTTCATATAATAAATTATTATTGATTTTGTGTAAGAATTATGTTATCCCCACTTAAAATAATAATAATAATAATAATAATAAAGGGAAAAGTATTATTGTTATTAATTTCAATATCAAAAGAGTTTGTAGAATTGCGGAATAACTACAACAAATAAATAAATAAATAAATAAATAATAATAATAATAAAGAGCCTAAAAAGGTGATGAGAACAAAAATAAATGATAAGATTAGATTGCTTTGTGTGTAATGTGAACTTTGTAACATAAGATAAAGTAAAACAAACTACAGGAAATAAGAGAGTGGTAGTCGTTAAGTTGAGTCATAATTTTTATGCTTTGGATTAAGATTTAAACAAAAACAAAAACAAAAAAAACTCAAGTATGGAATTCACACATTGGAAATGCAACCATAGTTGTCAAGACAAATAATTAAACTAAAAACTTTTTTATAACAAACCAACTAAACAACCAAACAACCAAGACATCATCAAAGGTGTAAAGAAAGAAGTTGAAATTTCATACATACATAGAGAGAGAGAGAGAAAGAGAGATGTGTGTACACATTTTTTTAAATTGATTTTTTTGTTCTTTTTCACAAGTACAAGGAGTAAGGAGTAAGCCTGGGGTCAAAGAAAAGCCCTTGGCATTGAATAAATGAATAAATAATAAATCAAAAAAAAAATGAATGTACACAAAGAATAGCAAAAAAAAAAAAAAGATTTTTTTTTTTTTTTGTCAGTTTGAGAAAAGAAACCTGAATCATTGAAGAAGAATTCTTATTATTATTATTATTATTATTAATGCTTGACAAAGAAAACAACGTTTTACCTGTTTGTTTGAATTATTAAATGAACCCATTCCTCGTGTTTTTATATATAATAACCTTGATTATTTTAAAAGTAATCAATAAATGTTTTCCTCCTTGCCAGACATTCTGACTCCGTTTGGTTTAAGGGCGCTTTCTTTTTTTTTTTTTACCATTGAATATACTCGCCCTGCAAACAATTATTCATTCCAACAATGTTATTAAATTTGATTTTTATCATTTTTTCCTTTCAATCCCCCGTTCAAAATACATATTGAATTATAATTAGTTTTTTTAAAATAATAATAATAAGAAAATTATTATCGGAATTTTATTCACCTGTTTTCCTAACGTTTTCCTCCCTTTTTTTCGATTTTGTTTCGTGTTTTCCCTAAAAAAAAAAAAAAAAAAAAAAAATTACATTAATGCGTCTTACATATTTTTTTTAATTACGTGGGGTAAATATTTAATTAAGAATAATAGGCAAAACAATGATATATAATAATAATAATAACAACGTACTTATAAAATCCATTCATTATTTACGTATAAAAATAATAAATTATCGATAATGTCATTTTTATCCCATTAAAAACGTAAGCAACGTTTATTTTATACGTTTCGTTTGACATGGCGGACATTTTGTTTTTTTGCAGCAGTCGTTTCCCCGGTAACGTAATTATTTCAAAGTTGGCAACACTTTTGAAAAATTTGTTTTCGCGTGATAATGGCGCATCTGTTAAATTTATCGTTAAATAATTATTTTATTTTTATTTAAAAAACAAAAGCAAATATAAATAAATAAATAATTTTAAAGTAATATTTTTAATATTTGACGGTTAAACAATTTAAATTTGTGTTTTTTTTTTTTTTACGTGTGCGCGCAGTTATGTAAATTTAATAATAAAACGTTAAAAAAGGGTCACATAAATTATTTATTTATTTATTTATATTGAATGCAACAAAAATGTATTTATTAATTTATTATATAAGTTATTATATAATGTTTAAAACATTTCTAAAATACAATCATCTAATAAAACTAAATTAAGTGATAAAAACTTTTATTATTATTAATATTAATAATATTATAGTAATATTTATGTAAAATTTCTCTATAACAATTTAAACATTATTATTATTATTATTGTTATTAACTAAATCATTTATTAAAATTAAATAAAATTAATATATATTATATATGCAAATATGAATGTAAACTATGCATTTTGATAATAATAATAATAATAAAATTATTCTGATGTAAAATAATTATAATAAATAAATAAATCAATAAAGAAAAATTATTTTTAAATTTACTTTAATCATATCTATATATATTTTGTTATACTTTTTAACTTTCATAACTATGAAATTATTATTAATAAATAACTATTATTATTATTATTTAATTTTTTTTTAAAATAACAGTTAATAATTTTCAATTGTAAGAAATAAAAAAATATATGTATAAATATAAATGATTAATTAATTAATTATTACCTACAATATATATATTTATTAAAGCAAACCTTTTTTTTTTTTTTTTAATAAATTTTATTGCTTTTTTTCCTGTACGATTCGCATAAATAAATAAATAAATAAAAAATAAATAAATACGACGCGTGTTATAAAAATAATAATAATAATAATAAAATAAGCCAATCAATTTTTTTAAATAGGTAATTTATTTATTTATTTATTTATTATCTCTAATACGTTAGAAAGAAAATTAAATTTAATTACTTTTTTTAAATAAATATAAAATTAAAATTAAATCAGGTACATAATATGAAATTAATAATAATAATAATAATAATAATAATAATAATAATAATAATAATAATAATAATAATAAACGTCTATTTATGTATGCACGGTTACATATAAAATTTTATTGCGATCGATTAATATTTTCGAATAAATGCAATAGGCAATTTCCCCCCCCCTCCTCCTCCCCCCATAAAATAAAATAATAATAATCATGATAAATAAAGATTATGACAAAGAGAGAGAGAGAGAGAGAGAGAGAGAGAAACAAAATTAAATATCCTTCGTGTACATTATTATCTAACAATAAATAAATAATTCTCTTTTTTTTTTGAATAAAAATTATTATTATTATTATTTTTTAAATAAATAATACATATATTTATTTAATACGTAAAATATTATCATTATATTTTATTAAAATCAATTTTTTAATAACTTAATAACAACGTGAATAATAATAATAAAAAAAAAAAATTATAGGAATGAATTTACTTTTTTTCTACCCCGTAAGCTAAGCTTGTAAATGCCGCGCCCGCGAAAATTCTTTTCCCCCCTCCCTTTTTCAGGCTAAATACCTACGGAAGATATAATATAATATAAGCTAATAATATTATTATATGAATTTAATATAACAAGACTCACCGGGAGTCTATTAAAAATAAACAAAGCAATTAATTCCTAACGTAATAATAATAATATTGTTAATAGTAATAATATTGATAATAATTGACACGCAATTAAAATGCGTTAAAATGAATAAAATAATTTATATAAATATATATATATATATAATTAACAATAACGCGGTTTAAAAAAAAAAAAAAAAAGAATTTTACGAACTCAAATTGCATAGATTGCTCAAAAAATCTTCCGGTGTCATTATGTGTGATGAACCTGGAGACAAATAAATAAAACGCATCGTTTAATTATCATCATCATTATCCTGTTGTAACAATCCTGGAGGATCTTACAAAGGAAAATTTTCCCTTACCTATAATAACTTCCCAATTTTTCACGGCGTTTGTTACTTCGTAAGCGCAACGAATTTCGGAAAAACAAACGCCTCCGATTATGAAAACAATCAAACGTGGTACGTTTTTCACCGTTTGTTGGGCTTTGTCCTTATGCCAATGACCGTAGCGGACGCTGGAAAAAAAAAAACGAAAAAAAAAATGAAAATTTGGACAATTCGAACGGACGATGAATGAATCGCATACCCAGGTTTTTTTTGTTTGTTTGTTTGTTTGTTTGTTACCTTGTAGGTGCGTGATATCCGGATGACGTGGCTCTTCCGCTCAAAAATGGAAAATGTTTAACGTCGAGTTTATCTTCGATGCATTCTTCCATTATGTCTTTAACGACTGGAGTCCATCTCGACATCTGATACGTTTGTTCCGTTATCCTTTCTTTTCTCGGCACTTGATATATTTTTTTCCTGTTTCCCTGAAACAAACAGACGTCAAATAAAATAACTCGAGAGGGAGAGAGAGAGAGAGAGGGGGGGGAGGCAGAGAGAGAGAGAGAGAGAAATAAAAAAAAAAAAAAAAAATTTAACGTATCCATAGTGACGAGAACAAAACGTCGACGACAACGATTTTTTCAATTCAAACCTTTTTTCTTTTTTTTTTTTCTTTTTTTTTCTTTCTTAAAAAAATGAACGATACAAATGACGGAGATGTAAAATTAAAACGAAGGTCGACGGGTCAGGGAAAAAGTCATTCGAAAAATGATATCGAGAACGAGGATGAGAAAAATAATTTTCAGGTAAAGCAAAAACATAAAACAAATTTCGACGACTCTCTAACCGTTTTAAATTCGGATGATCGTCACGAGAAAGACAAGGAAACGTACGACAATTTGGAAGATCCGAGAGGGGGAGGGGATTTGTTTTTGACCGAACAAAACGATTCGCGTAAACATTACTACGACGTGGAAGAAGAAGAAGAGGAGAGAGAAGAAGATGCCGTTACGTCCGAGACTTTATCGTCGAACGAAAGCGTGTCGAGCATTCTATCCAAACTCTATCCGTTCACGATAAAATGGACGTTCGGCACGAAATCCACCGTCGACATAGTCAATTTGACGACTAAAAACGGCGGAGAAGTTTTTTTCGTCGCCTCGCATTTCGGCGTCATTTACGACTACATACGAGACAAAATCGAATTCCTTCCCGGTCACAATTTTCCAATCAAAACGATCGCGTCGGATTATTCGGGTCGTTGGCTCGTGACGGCCGACGCGGGACCCGACAACGTCATCATTATTTGGGACCATAAGAAAAAAGTACCCGCCTGGTGTTTGTACAACGTTTTCCCCGACGGAGTGAGTCAAGTCAGAATAAGTCGCGACGCTTTGTACCTGGCCGCCGTCAATTGCATTTATAATTATACGTTGAAATTTTGGAAATGGACTCTGGGCTACTACGAACCCGATGCAACGCTCGAACTGAATCCCGGCTTCGGTCGAGCCACTCATTTGAACTTTAACCAACTTCAAACGAATCAATTGGCCGTCACGTTGAGAAACGGAATCGTGTTTTGCGAATGGGATACGTCCGTGGATGAATTGAAAACTTTTTTCCCCGTACTCGAATCTCACACGCAAAAAAAATTGGGCATTTTCAGGAGAACAATGTTTTTGGACGATAATCACACGGCCGTGACGTCGACGAACACGGGATACATCGTCGTGTGGTGCGACGTCGTGTTCACCGAAGAAATAAAACCCGAAATCCCCGGCAGAATCGAAAAACAATTTTTAAAAGCGGTTAGAATTCACAAGAGCGGAATAACGAACCTTAAAATTTGCGATAATTCCATCGTGACGAGTTCCGAAAAGGGCGTCATTCTTTTTCACGATCAATTATTTCGTTTGATGTACGTTTTACCCAAATTGAACGTGGACCCCATCGCGTCCTTCAGTTTCAACAAAGTCGACAATCAAACGGATATTTTTATGAAAGTCAAAAGTCCGAAAAAATTAAATTCCTTAATTGAAAATTACGTCGATGCCAATTTGGAAGAAGACAACGGTCTCCACGAGAATAATGACAGCATTGAAAAACAATACAGCGACAGCCTACTCGAAAAAGCTAAAAAAATCATCAATCCCGAATACCTTTCCAAAATCACACCCCTCCAAGATTTCAAGGACAAAGCGAAGAAAACCCCTTCCGATTGCACGATGGAGAGAAGACCCTTCGTCGTGAGAGATTTGATTTTCATGACGAAAAATGGACGGCTCGGTTATCTGAGTCATCAGAGGAAAAAAATTAAATATTTTTTTTACAACATCGAGGCTTCCGTGGCATGTTTAGCTTGTAGCCCCCATAAAAGTCATTTGATTGCGAGTTATTTATCCGGACCCATAATCATGTATAATTACATCAGTAAAAGAATTTTGGTTTCGACTAAAATCCCTGGTTTTAAAATATCCAGTTTGAAATATTCAAGCGATGGCACCATGCTTTTGGCTGGTACGGAAAATGGCATGATCCTAGAACTCGATCCCCTTTTACTCGAAGTCAAATTAACGTTAAACTGCGGAAAAGATCCCATTAAGAAAATAACGATTTCGTCTATGAACGATTTGGTCGCATCCTACGACACGGAATCCATAGTTTATTTACACACGCAAACGAAAGCGCAAAAAAAGAAAAAGTGGATATGTTTGGGAAAATACAGGTCGCATTATAAAAAGATAAATGATATCATGTTTGAAAAAACTCCCCACGAATCCGGGTATCCTCGGTTCTACACGATCGGAGAAGATAGAATGTTGGTTGAATACGCCATTAATAATTCGGACGTGAATAAATTATCATTGTCTCAAATACACAGAATCGAACAAACGGCAACTCCCAAGTGCTTCACGTGGAATCCTAATTTCACAAACAATTTGGAATTTCTCATATCCAACAGCGAATACAAGTTGAAAGTCGTCGATACGGAGAGTCGAGAGTGTAAAAAAACGACTCTCGGTCCCACCGCGGACACGCCCATATTGCAAATGGAAGTGTTGCCCCATCATTTCGGAACCAATAGCTCTGCAAAAATGGTGTACGCGACGAACAAACACATAGGATTGATTCTTCTTCCCTCGACGGGTAATCCCTTCGAAAGCATGGGCATGGTAGCACATCCGGTTAAAATCATCGACTACGTATTGTCCCACGATTACAGATACGTATTTACCGCCGGTGAAAATGATCGTAGCGTTTTGATGTGGGAAATACATCCGAATTCGGTTGACGTTGCGAGTCAAATAGGAGGATTGGGTCTCGAACCTTTCGTATCCCTCATCGAAGGCGGTCCAAATAGTTTTTTCTTCCGAGAAGTTGAAGATTTTTTTTACTACGCTCAAATAATACATCAGGGCGAAGATCCCAACATCGATAGATCCGTATCGAAAACGCTAGCCTTGTGTGAAATACCGGATCTCTTTCGCACCCTTGGCTACTATCCAACGGATTACGAAATCGATAATTTAATTTACGAATTGAAACACATCAACTACAACGAAACGGGAGAACTCGCGTCGGAAATATCCTTCGAAGAATGCATAAAAGCTTTCTTAAATCACAAACCCGTGGAAGGCATTACTCTCAATCACATCAACCTTGCTCTAATTGCCATTGCTGACCTCAGCGATCCGAGTGATATATTGGTTGAACGGACCGAATTGTACAAAGCTTTGGAAGAAAGAGCGGAAGCCATGGATCACAAAGAAGTTTTAGGTTATTTGTGTATATTATTACTTCCAAAAGATGAAAACGCTCCCATTCCGGCAACTTTGGCACTAAACGATTTTGCCACAAACGTTTTGGGAATCGATCTAAGTATAACGGAAGAAAATGTACAACAAATTACACATGCTTTTGAAAATAAAAATGATTCAAACGAATCTGAGTAATGGGTTTTTTTCCAACCTCGTCGATAGAAACACATCGAAAAAAAAAAAAGTTCTCATAGAGTAAATAAATATAAATAAATAAAGCATTGAACGTTAAATCCATCCATGCTTATAACATTTAAAAGGATGTTAAAAAATAATTTAACTTACATCGACGACAATGTTAACACCCAAATTCGCCATGTTGATGATGGTTTGTTTTTCTTGAGGTAAAATTTGCGCATGTTGAATTAATTTCGTCAAATTTTCTTCGGATATACCATTTTTAGAGAGAATGTACAAAAGGATTATTCTCATTTTGTCATAATGCGTAACGCCTTGGTCCAATAAAATGGGAACGATGTTTCTCATGTGATCTTTTATCCGTTCGCCCTCAGCATCAGTTCCCATGGCGAGATCCTAAAAAATTATTACATCGAGTGGATTAATATTAATGGGTGGATACATCACCCACCTTTTAGCCATTTTAAATTCATTCACAAACCTGTTCGACTTTGCATAGTTTGTCGACGTATCCCTGATAAGCTTTCATACAATCTTCTGCCAAATGTAAATGCGTCGAATATTTGCTCAATTCTTTTTGATATTGTGGCATCCTTTTGATCATTTGCGATAAATCTTTCATTGACTGTTTATCACCCGCTGGCATTCTTTTCGAATCGATAAACTTTTTCAAGTTTTTTGTGACGTTCCTAAAAAGAAAATTAAAAAAATCAATATGATATCCAGACGAGTAAAACGCTTTTTTTTTAAGTTTATTAATAAACATTTACTGAGAAACAACAGCAATGTGTTGATGTCGTAGTTCAACCCATAACTCATCATTTTCATCCAACAAAACTTCTTTTTCCGGTGCACCAGCCGAAGCCTCATACTTGTAAACATCATTATCTATCGGAAGTAAATCGTAAGCCATTGCTTGAAGGGTAAGTTCGTGAAGAAGTGGTGAAACGCAATCGAAACCTCTGTCGAGTATAAGCAACTGAGATCTGGCTTTTTCCGGACTTTCTCCCATTGTGGGCTCATCTGCTTTATAAGCATCTAATTTTTGTTGAATAAGCTGAGCTAATTCAACATTTTTATCGTAATCACTGTAACACAAAAAATAAATAATAATTTAAACATTTAATTTTCCATAATAAGACGAATTTAACAAATTTTAATAATTTTATAAGGAAAAATACTTACAAACGATACCGAACGGATGGATATTCACCAAGTGTAGCACATAAGGTTGCTATTTGTTCGGCTATTCTTTCCATATTTGCAATCCGTGATTTTGCAAATGAAGGGTTGTAAAAACATTGAAACGTTTCAGGTGAATCAAGTGAAAAAACCTGTTTTGACCATAAAAAAAAAAAAAAAAAAAAAATTAGAAAATATAAAATATTTTTTTTATCGATACAAATCATAAAAATAAAAATTCATTTCAACAAACTGTTTACTGTAATCACCAAAAATTGAAATAGAATTTTTTATTTGTTTAAAAAATAAAAATTCATTTAAAAAAAAAAAATATTTACACAAAACCAAAATAATATTTAATTACCTGACTTTCATAGGGCAAAAAAGCAATGTTGATCTCTTTTAATGTTTTTATCTTTTTTGCCGCACATGATTTGCAGAGTTCATTAAAAAGCTCCTCCGGGCAAACTAACAAAACAATTATCGCATGTCATTAGTCAAACAACAAACCCACAAAGCACCATTTTAGTTTTTTAGTAAGCATTTTTTTTTAATAGGTTAGTGTAACATTAAAAATTTGCTCTGATTATTTGCTAACACTAGTAATAATAAGAAACAAAAAAACCAGACATTTTATGAAATCGGCAACAAGTTTCATTCCCTCATACTTCCAAAAATAAAACAAAAAGAATTTTATTTTTAGTTTTTAAACCCCTTTTTTAATAAGCGGGAAAAAAATTTAATAAAAATTAGTAGGATGTTATTTATTGCGACAAGCAAAAATATTTTTTCGTTTAAAACTCTGGCTAGTACCTGTTCTTCGAATGGAATAAAGGCAATATTAATTTCTTTTAAAGTTTTTATAAATTTTGCTACTCTGGCATGAGAAATTTCCTTAAATAATTCATCATTACAAGCTGAAAACAAATTTATATAACAAAAAAATTCATCAATAAAATAAAAACTGAAAATTTTTTCTCTTAATTAACATAATTAAAAAAGAATGTATAAAGTAAAACTAAAATAAAATTAAATAAAAAGTATTGTAATAATAATAATACTTTTGTTATAGAAACAGAAAATAGTTTACCTTCGGTGAAGTAAACATGAGCAGCTCTATACATAGACCTGTTTGGAGATGCAAAATCATTGATAAGAGAATGTACCGATTTTTCACAAGGTGTGATGAGATAAATAGCTTCCATTGTACTCAATGGTTCTCTCTTTTTATTGATGTCTTCCACCACTGGATAAATAAAAAATTTTAAGTCAATTATAAATTATTCATGTAAAATAAGACTTTTGATTTAAAAAAAAAAAAAATTATACATAAAGAAATATAAAAATTAAAAAAAGTAATAAAAACTTACATGTTATTCCTTCGGCTGATATCTCATGCATTTTACAGCAAGCTGATACCATTCTCATGGCTAATTGATCAACAACGAGAACCCTCCAATCTACCCCTTTTCCAGTTTTACTTTTGTTTTTTATGGCTTCATTCATTATTTCTGTAACATTAATAAAAATGAATTATTATTTTATTGAAAATGTAAATTTTTAAAATCTAATTTCTAAATGGGCGTGAAATGACATAAGCACCAATAATAATAATGTTTGAATCAAAATGGTATTAATAAGTCGTTTATTTTCGTTAAATTAACATTTTATTATTAAATATGTACGTTATAAAAAATTTGAATACGTTAATAAATGAAATTAAATGATAATTTTTCATCAAAAATTTTAAAAAGGCAAGTTTAACAAAAAATTTTAATTTAAAGATATGCAGGTAATCTTGTGTAATGAAATAGGCGAATATTGAGATTGAATATCAAGTGGATTTTTTTAGAAAAGAAGTTATTTTTTAATGAATAATAATTACTCTTTCTTTAATTAATAAAATTATAAAACTTACTTTGCCCAACCATCGCTTTTAAAGCCATTTTTTCCGAATTACTGGTTACGCAGACGAATTATCGAAAAATCAATATACCACAGACACTGAAAAAATGGCGCCAGATCAATATTTCACTGCCCACTATATTACATTTCTATATATTACTAATATTATTATTAAATTGCGATGCGAAACTATATTTTTTAATTTTAACTTTACCGTAAAATAAATTATTTTTATTACAATGAATTTAAACAGTGGAATTACAATATCTATTGTCAAATCGAAAACTAGTATATTGGATAGAAATTTAAGCAAAGGCAAAGGTGAAGTCAGTCTCAGCTGTTTTGCTTTATTATTTTCTGAAGTTGTACAGTATTGTCAAAATAGAGTATTCACCGTACCAGAACTTCAAAATAAATTGTCTGAAATTGGATATGATATCGGGACAAAATTTATCGATATACTTATGGTTCGCGAAAAAAATTACAAAAGAGAAATTAAATTGTTAAATATATTACTATTTATTAAATCTACATTGTGGAAAAATCTTTTCGGATATGAAGCTGATAAGTTAGAATTGGCAAATGATGATGACAAAGTGTATTATATTATTGAAAAAGAACCTTTGGTAAATAAATTTATATCAGTGCCTAAAGATAAAGGGAGTCTCAACTGTGCTGTTTTTACAGCTGGTATCATTGAAGCGGTTTTATGTGGAAGTGGATTCGTAAGTACTTTGTTTAATGTAACAAATAACAATAACCGCTTCCAATGTCATTATTATTTTTTATTTACATAATTCAAAATTGTATTAAGACTTTAAAGGCAAACAATACATATTTAATTAAATAAATTTTTCTATTGAAAATATTTACCAATGAATACATGACAGATTTTTAATCGATAAATGTATATTTAGTTTTTATTTTTCAATATTTTATTTTCAAAATTATTTCAAGGCTTTAAAATTTTTTTTTGTTTTTTAAACATCTATTCTTTAAGTAAAACTTAAAGAATCGAAGGTCAAATTAAAACGGTCAATGAAATAAAAATACATACAATATTTTACAATATTTTATTGATATAAATATCCTCTACTATTAATATATATATATATATATTTTAAAAAATTTTACTTTCAGCCGGCAAAAGTAACAGGACACTGGCACAAAGGAACTACCTACATGATTAAATTTGATGAACAAGTTGTGGCTAGAGAGAAGCAATTAGATGAAAGATAAAAATTAGTGTAAAACTTAAATTGAATTTATTTTTAATGTGAACTATTGTATAACATACTAACTATGCATCTTACTCAATATATTTATATGTATATCATTATTTAACTAATTTAAGTGGTTCATCCTTATATGCTCTAACACCAGACCTCAATTGTTGATCAATATCTCTTCTACGTTTGCATATGTATAATGCTAATAAAACCACGGGACTGACAAAACAAGCCACGGGTATAAAGACTCCTTTAAAAGATGGACGATAATATTCATAAGCATAAGCATGTGCTGCATTTTGACGAAACATTATCGGATCAAACTAAAATCAATGAATCAAATTAGAAAAACTTTAAATAATTTTAATAATAATAATAGTAAATGATAAATACTGAGCTTACAATAGCAACGTCGTTAATTGGTCTATAAGGGCTTTCAACTAATTTTCTATAATATGCCTTTGCTTCATCTCGCATTGCTTTTTTTTTCTCATAAAGTTTCCTGACTTTTTCACTAACATCGTATTGCCCATCGCCCATATTTCCCAATTTTAAAATAACCTATAAAATAAATGAAGTTATTAATTAAAATTACAATAAAATACAATTATTTTATATAGTAAAAAAAAAAAAAAATTAATAAATAAAAACATAAAATAATAAATTTACCAAGATCTTTACAGAATTATGGGTAAGATAATAAAAGGCGGTGAATATATACTCTATGCTTTTTTTATTTTTTTCTTTCGTTATATCGTGAATTTTTGGCGCATTTCACTTTTAATTTTTATAAGTTAATAAATAATATTTTAAGTATTAAATTTCGTAATAAAAACATAAATAATGAATATTCTACATATTATTAATTTTAATTATATAAATAATTATAATTAGATAAAAAATTCAAAGTGAAATTAAACGAAATTATTTTTAAAAGATTTAATTTTAAATTATTATCAACACGTATGTAGTTAACTTTTAACTATTTATTATAAAAAGAGTTTAAATTAGTACGTTTTTTACATTCGAAAAACTTTTAAATTAATTAAATTAAAAAAAAAATAAGTGAAAAATACTTTAATAAATACTAGATACTTTACAACAACAACAAAAAAATTCCACACTTGTAATTTTATAATTTGAAAAAATACGAAGGTTTTCCCTTTGAAAGATAATTAAAATGTAAAATAAAAACATAAATAAAAAAAATATAATTTTTTTGTTAAATTTAATTGTAATTAATTTAAATTCCTGTTTTCAATGGATCAAATATCTTGTATTTTAGGACATCCTGAAGGTTCTGTGAAACCTGAAGTACTTCTTGCATATGCAGTTGTAGCATTATCCGTATCAATATTCGTTAATTGGGCATTAGCAGTACTACTATTTGCTCTTAAACCATTTACCTGTGCAGGTATTAAATAAAAAAAATTAATAAATAAAAGATGTTTAAATTAAATATACAAAAATGTTTTTTTTTTTTTTTTAAAATAAATTTACAGCTATATTGATGGCATTCATAAGACCAGATTTAGCTCGAAATTTCATGCAAGAAGATTATTTAAAACTTATTTTGGAAAAGGCAAATATATTTTTTTTTGGATTTGTGGATTTTGTTATACGATTGGGACAACAGTTTCATGATAAATTTCATTAATGTTTAATTATTTTGTGATACGAAATGAATATTTTATATTTGAACCAAAAAAAAAAAAAAATATGTTATGATATTGTGAAATGAAAAAATTATTTATAAACTGCTTAGGAAAATTTTTTAATTACAATATTACATTAATATTAAAAAAATTTTAAAAAGTATTTATTTATTTATTTATTTTTCTTCATAAAATAATCCTAAAATTATTTTTTAAAATTTAAATTTCATAAACTCGCCAAATAATAACAAGGACATTATTAAAATTAAAGAAACTTACTAGAAAATACTTTTTTTTAAAAAAAAACAAACTAAATCATTGCTAATCTAAAACTAAAATTAATTAATTGTTTTTATTAATTATTACTGTTGTGCATTTAAAAATAAAAACAATTAATGTATTTTTTTAAATGCATCATTTCTTCATTTTTAGATTCTGACACAAATTTATTTTGAATATTATTTATTTCTTCATTTATTGTTTTAAATAAATCCAAAGTTTCATGCTTTTGTTTGTTTCTAAGGTCTTCAAAAGCCTTTAAAAAAAAAAAATCAAAAAATTTTGAATTTTTACACTTAAATTTTTTTATTTTAAAAGAAATTATTTTACCTGAATAATATCTTTGTGCCATTCTGTAAGTTGTCTCATCCATTCCTTTCTAATCAAAGCTGTTTTTTGTATCATTTTAATTTGTTGTTCTAATATTTGAATAATTCTATTCTCTTGTTGTTTTAACTTTTTAATATCGTTTTCGATATTTTGAAATTGTTTTTTTATATCTTTTCCAGCTTGATTTTTAAAATTTATAATTTCAAAATCATGTTTTTTCAACATTTCAATTATTTTATCTTGATGTATGGATGCCATGGATTTTGTAAACAAATTAAAACGTTTTTTTTTTGAATTTAACAATTTGTAAAAATCACTTTTCATTACGTCAACCATATTTAACATTTCTTTATTTTTTCTTGAATTCTTTTCATCATTTTTTTTAGTTTTTTTTTCTTCATTTGACATGCAATATATTTCACTTTTTAATTTTTTTAATGGACTCCATAAATTTTGATCATCACCACTTAAATTATTATTAACATTTTTATTTTCTTTCTCTGGAAAGTGAGATGTTATGAGTTTATCTAAATCAATATTAAATGATTTATTTTTATACGAATCATTACGACGACTATTCATAATTGATAAAATAAATAATTTTAAAAATTGATTAGAAATGTTAGAAATATAAAAAATTAGAAATGTAAAAGGAAAACGCGGGTTTTTTTTTTATACAGAGAATTTTGTCGCACTTTTGCAAAAGAATCATCGAGTAAGTGAGATATAGTTTGGTTAAGAAATTCTCGTTACTGAGTCTTTAAAATGGTAAGGTTTTTACTTTTTTAGTTGAAATTTTAAAACAATTTTATGTAGATTATTTTGTTAGGTAACTTATATTAAATTAGTAATTGGTTAAATTTAGTATACATAATTAATTATGAAGTTATTATAATTAATCATTTATTCTGCCATGTGTCTTCTAATCTGCCATTTTGATTCCATTCGTTTCATTTTAATAGACGTGCAAAAGAAGAAACGGAGGACGATCTAAACATGGTCGCGGTCACGTAAATCCTGTTCGTTGTACCAATTGTGCTAGATGCGTTCCGAAAGACAAGGCCATAAAAAAATTTGTAATCAGAAATATTGTTGAAGCAGCAGCTGTACGGGATATAACGGAAGCTAGTGTATACCCATGTAAGTTTTTATATTGGTTTTTTTTTTTTTTTTTTGTACTTTTGTAAATATTTGGTGAAAATAAAGTTATTTAGATGTATTAAAAGGTTATTGTGCAATTGAGCAGCAAATAATTTGTAAATTTTTTTTTTTTTTTACAGCTTATCAACTTCCTAAAATCTATGCCAAGCTTCATTATTGTGTTTCTTGTGCTATTCACTCGAAAGTTGTGAGAAATAGATCTAAGGCAGACAGACGTCTCAGAGCACCACCTGCGAGAAATTTCCCAAGAGATGTTATGAGACAGGGTCAAAACCAACCAAGAAAATAAAATGTTAAAATTTTTTTAATATAATCTAGCTATTTTAAAAGCTTAAAATGAATGTTTTTTTTTTAATTTCTTCTTTTTCTTCATTGAAATTAAAATATTTTTAAGAACTGTTTTGTTATTATTATTGCAAATGGTTAAAAAGTAAAATATCTTGTTTTGAGTTGCATGTTTAAGTAACCATTAGTTACAAATATGGAAGCTTTAAAAATATGAAAAAGTAATTATTTAAAAAGAAAAGAACTACTGAGCTGGTTTATTTAAAAATATTAATTTGAAAATTCCCCAAAAAAATTAAGTTTTGATTCTTCTACAGTAATGTTTACTTTTACAAGTTCAATCGGTATTTTATATTTAGATTGCTTTTATTTTGTATTTACACTTAAAAGATTTAAATTTGTCTAAATTTTATTTAAAAGTTGTTGACTTATTTAAGACTGCAAATTGTTCCAGTAAAAAATATTGTCAATTTTATTTCTGCCTAATAAAAAATATTTTTTATTCATTTTAATATTTTGATTTGAAATTTCCTACTTGGAATATTTTTTATATCTTTCTCATATGCATACATTTTAATAAAATATGAAGGCTTTTCATTGAAAATTAAACATCGCGGAGGCTTTGATTTTTTTCAAAAGTATGAATTAATGTATCAATATTTTTTAACTTTACTTATTGCTAATAATTATAAACTTTACAAGTTGATTATTAATTAAATTAATGAAATTTCAAAAGAATATTAAAAGTATGAGTACTTTTTTGTTTTTTTTTTTCACATTTAACAAATTATTATTTAATGTTTTTTTTATAATTAACGAACTATGTTTATTGTAAATTATGTCGTTGATATTTAAAATGCTTAAAAACTTTTTCTATAAAACAATTTATTATTTTATTTTTATTTTAATTCGATTTTAAAAAATTACCCCTCCCCTTCTTTTTTTTAAATTTCAGATTAATTATGCTTATAACACATTAATTCATTTAATTTAAAAAATGAAAAAAACTTGGACGGCTCCATCTTCTTTTGATTTCAATAATGCATCACGGAAAAAATTAAAAATTGATACTAATTTAATTAAATCTGAATTACCTGAATTGTCGGAGCCAAAGTCTTTACAAGATTTGACTGTAAATTCTCGCAAAGTATCTGAAGTTCGGCGATGGGTGTCCAGACGTAATTTCGAATTGTCTCCCATTCTTTTAATATGTGGACCTCCAGGATCTGGTAAAACTACGACTTTAAAACTTGTGGCCGAAGCTGAAGGAATGTCAGTTGTTGAATGGATAACTCCCATATCAAAGGTGATTACAGACAATATTATCGAAGATGAATATGGTGATAAAAGTTTTTACGATATGTCTGAAAGCAAAAAATTTGAGGATTTTATTGCCAGGAGTAGCAGGTATCCTTCATTGTTCCAACCTAAGAGACCTACATTTATAATTGTAAAAGATATTCCAAATGTATTCATTTGGAAACCTGACCTCTTTCATTCTTTTCTTGAAAAGTATAAAACATTTAATAAAACTCCAATAGCATTTGTTATTACCGATGATGAAACATTGGATCTTCATAATTCTCTGTTTCCAAATGATATCAAAGTGAAATTAAATATTAGTTTAATTAAATTTAATCCTATTAGTGACACACTGTTAAAAAAAAACCTGAAAGTATTTTGTAATAAATTTGAAAAAAATAGCTTTAAATTAAATGCTGAAAATTTAGAAACCATTGTTAAAAATTCATGTGGTGATTTACGAAGTGCTCTTCTCGATACTGTGATACAACTAAGAACTAATGAAATAAGTGATAATCAAATAAATAAAAAGAGAAAACTGAATAAATTAAATGATGACACATTGTCAGTTAGCAATAATTGTTTATCTGCAAGAGATCACGGTTATGATTTCTATAAAAAAATGGGTAGGATATTATATCCGAAAAGGTCTGAAGAAAATTCATCACAGTGTTCATCGCAAACAGGAGATCTTGTTCATAATATTTTAGAAATTGCAGAAAATTGGAATAAATCATATCAAAGTTTTTTACATGAAAATTATTTACTGACATGTAGTAACTTTCAAGATGCAACTATCGAAGCTGATCATTTTAGTTTTTGTGATGTTTTAGCTCGTCATGTTGAAATGGAAAAATATCTCAGTATTATTACTGTTGCTGGTTTAATGACTGCCAATAGTCAACCGAAAAAGAGTGGATTTCATCCATTTAAAAAGTCTACAAATTTATATAATATGAGAGAAACTAAATTTTCATTTAACGAGTCTAGTATTCTTAGATTTGGAGTGAGTGAAAAAAATTTTGCTTTAGATGTAGCTCCATTAAAATATTGGTTGCAAATAGGATCAGATTCAACTTGTAGAACATTATGTACTTCTACCATTGAAAATATTGTTAGAAAGTCTCAAAATAATGTCATGCCTTTTTCAAATTCACAAGAAAAATCTGGTAAACCTACGGAATCTAATATGGTTGATTCGAGTGAAGAAGAAGAAGAAGACAATTTAGAAATTGATGATGATTCAGAGTAAATTTAATTAATATTTGTTGTAATAATAATAATTTAATAAAAGAAATAACATAAATGAAGTAGTTGCACAAGGTGAAGTTATTCAAATTTTTAATTACAATCTTTTTCCTGAAATAAATAATGAAATCATATCAATGGGTAAAGGAAATATAATCGTTGAGTTTTTATCAGCTGATACAGTGCTGAGAGTTTGTAAATATCTCAATTGTAAAGCTGCTGGACTTTCAGCTATTACATCAGAAGCTTCTTTTAAAGCTTTTGAAGCTTTCATTTCACCTTCTGCAGCTATAACTTTAGCACAAGCTTCTCTTGCTGCCTCAGCTTCTGCTGCCATTGCTTTTTGTAATAAAACAGGTAACCGTACATCTTTACTGCAATAATAATAATAATAATAATAAATTGTTATTATTTTTTTTTTAAGGTGTACGTTTATTGTAAAAACTATTTTGTTATATTAAAATTTAAAATAAAAAAAAGGAGTTTGTTACTTGTAACTCACATTTCAACTCTTTCAACCTTTACACCCCAAGGATCTGTGGCTTCGTCTAGAGACGTTTGCATCGTATGAGCTATGGTTTCTCTTTCAGATAAAATTTCTGATAAGTTTTTTGTACCAAGTACATTTCTTAATGTTGTAGCAGCAAGAAGTTGAGTGGAGTGACTGAAATAAAACAAATATGATAAAGGTATAAGAATGATTTACATCCAGAAAATATTAAACTTTTTTTACCTGTAATTGGAAACCTGAACGACAGCACTCAGAGGATCTTTTATGTTGTAATAAACTACAGCATCAACAGTAACAGTAACAGAATCTTTAGTCAGTACCTATTAAAGAGAAAAAAAATGTATACAAGTATCCAAGCTATCAAAAATTTGAAAATTTGAAAAAATGTGTTTGAAATAATCTTACCTCTTGTGGTGGAACATCAAAGGATACAGTACGAAGATCAACTTTACTGTAGCTATCAATACAAGGCAAAACGAAAAATATACCTGGACCCCTTGGACCACCTTTTCTGAGTCTTCCGAGTCTGAAAATGACAGCCCTTTCATATTCTTGTACAACTCTGAAACTAGCACAGATGCTAAAGGGAAATGTTAATATCAATAAAAGAACAGAACCGAGTATTGCAATCCATTCGACAATTCCTGTTTCGTTGGCTTCAACAACTGTAACAAAAAAAAAAAAAAGAAAAATTAATTTAATTAAAATATTAATATTAAATAAGAAATACTTACTGTGATTTTGCCTTTTTAAAAATCTTATTTCTTGTGTCATTCTTGTATTTTCAATTGGTATAGATATTTCAGATGTAAATTGTCGTATATTCGATGTTGTATCACCAATATTACCTTCATTCATGACAAAAAAAATAAGAAAAAATATAAATTTAAATTCTGATGCCAAATAAAATGAAAAAACAAAAAAACAAAAAAAAAAAAGTTTCGGTAAAGTTAGATATAGTAAACAATGAATGGTCGAAAATAAACTACTGGGCTACATTATGAGAGCAATCTGATTTTTTTTTTTTGTAAACAATTTAAAAGTTTAAAAAAAAGTTTTTTTTTTTTTTAATTACCATTCGACAACACATTTGGTTTATGTTTATTTCGCTCAATAATGGCTTTTCTTTAAATAAAAAAAAAAAAATTTAAAATATGTTTCAACCTTTTTACCAAAAATAAATATTATTTTAATTTTTAAATAATAAATTTCGTTTATTTTCTTATACATGCAAAAATAATTTATCAAAGGAAAAATTTATATCGACAAAAATTTACACATTGACACATTAATTATATACATTTAAAAAAAAATTGCAATTTAATTTAATTTATTTATTTTAAAAAATAAATTGTTTGATTTAATTTTCAAAAAAAAAAAACATTTTTGTTTTGTTAATCTTTAATCCGAAGAAAGATTTATTATCGTTATTAAAATTTTATAACCGTTTCGTGGATTGTATTATTATTATTAAGAAATAAATTTAATAATAAAGTTTTTAAAAAGAAATGCAAAGTTTTTCTTATAATAAAAGTTAAAGATGAAAAAAAAAAAAAAACGGATTTAATAAATCGTTTAAAGTTAAATTTAGAATAAATATGGCCGCCAAAATCAAATCGAAAAAAGTCCGCCAATTTTAAATCTTAAATTTTTCTTCGATTGATCTCTGACGATTATAAATTTGTAATGTCGGGTTGAGTGTGATATGATTTTAAAATAAAATAAAATTGATTATCGTCAATGAATTGTAATAAAATTTACATATCAAAAGAATATCTTCAATTAAAACCAACTTTATGCGGAGGTCAAAGTTTTAGGTTATGTTTTATTAACAATTGTTAATCAAATTCTTAAATTTTTTTTTATTATTTTTATTTTATCATATCTAAATAATTATTTTATTTTAGATGGAAAAATATTAAAAACGATGAATGGATCGGTGTTTTTCAAAATTCAGTTTGGATACTCAATCAGAGTGACAGTTATATTTCCTTTAAGTGTATCAGTAAATCAAAAAATGTTGAAAAAAACAATTTATCTGAGATTGATGGGTTAAGTGATTTTATTAATTCAAAAGATGTTTTACATTCTTATTTGAGATTAAACGTTGATTTAAATAATTATTATAAAATATGGTCTGAAAGTGATCCACATTTTAAAAAAGCTGCACCACAATTACATGGTGTCAGAATTTTAAATCAAGAAGTTACTGAAAATTTATTTTCATTTATATGTTCTTCTAATAATAACATAAAAAGGTTTGATTGTACTCTGATATTTCAAAATGATGAGACAATGATTTTTAAAAAATTAAAAAAAAATTGTTTTTTCAAAAGGATTTCATCGATGGTTGAAAAGTTGTGTGAATTCTATGGAGATTACATAACAGAATTAGATGGTAAAAAATTTTATGGATTTCCTAAATTGGAAAATCTTGCCGACTCCAGCGTTGAGTCAAATCTTAGAAAAGCAGGATTCGGATACAGAGCCAAATTTATTTATCAATCTGCATGTTTAATTAAAGAATTGGGCGGTACAAATTGGTTAAACAATTTAAAAACATTACCATATGAATTATCAAAAATGGAATTGATGAAGTTACCAGGTGTCGGAGCAAAGGTGTGATTTTATATATTAAAAAAATAAATTTTAATTATGTCGTTTTAAATAAAAACTATTGTTAAATTTAAATTAATAAATTATAGGTTGCCGATTGTATATGTCTAATGTCACTTGGACACATGGAAGCCATACCTGTTGATACACACATATTTAAAGTAGCCAGCGAAATTTATTTGCCACATTTAAAAAAATATAAAAATTTAAATAATAAAATATACAATGAAATAGGTAATCATTTTAGATGTTTACATGGAAATTATGCAGGATGGGCCAATACAGTAAGTGATTATATCCAATTAATACCTTTGTGTAATTAAACCGAAAATAATTTTCTTATTTAAAAATTTTCAGGTTTTATTTTGTTCCGATTTGAAAATATTTCAAACTAGCAAAACAAAAAAAAAAATAAATAAATAAATCAGATGATGTTTAAAATCATTTAATTTCATTTAAATGGTAACAATCACTGATTATATTTTCAAATTGATAAGAAAAATAATCCTGTCGCCATCATCGAGTTTGCAATGAGAATTTAAAACAAACAAATTTCGAAAAATTAAAATTTCTTATTGTACGTAAAAAAAAAAATTTTTTAATAAAAACCATCAAAATATTTTTTATAATTTTATCTATGTAAATATAATAAATATATTAAAATAATATGATGTATAAAAATTTTAATATAATAACAAATGATGATAATTTTCCAAAAAAAAAAAAATTAAATTAAAACTATGCGTTAAACATATAATTAAACAGAAAAATAAAAATAAAAATAATAAATAAAGAAATTGTACGAATAACAACTTAATAATTCTGATATTTATATAAAAAATATATATATATGTAAAAAAAAAAAAAAAGGATGAAAGTTTACGATTTCTATAAGACGCACAATTGTAATCACTAAAAATCTTATCATCATATGAAATGTTGATAAAACAAATCTTCTTACTCGAGTATAAATATAATTGTGTTTTATAGTGATGTGTTTTAGATATTATTATTATTATTATTATTATTATTAGCATCTTTCAAGTGCTATAGCAATACCCATTCCTCCACCGATACAAAGAGAAGCAATTCCTTTTTTTTTATTTCTTTGTTCTAATGCATGAATCAATGTGACTACAATTCTACATCCTGAAGTTAAATAAATGAATTCATGTATCAAAATAAATTTCAATTAGGAAATATTTATGAATTGTTTTTAAAAAAATATGTATTACCTGAAGCACCTATGGGATGTCCCAGTGCGATGGCACCTCCATTAACATTAACTTTGTTTTCATCAACTTTTAAATCTCTATTTACTGCTATCGATTGAGCAGCGAAAGCTTCGTTAAGTTCGAATAAATCGACTTCATCTAAATTCCATCCGACTTTTTTTAACTGTAAATAAATAAAAATATTTAAATAAAAAAAAAAGTTTATAATGTTTTTGCTGATTAATATTTAAATTATTACCAGATTTTTAACAGCAGGTACAGGTCCAAGTCCCATAACGCTAGGCTCAATCCCAGCTTGAGCAAATCCGATAATTTTTGCTAACGGTTTAAGATTTTTTTCTTTTAATTGTTTTTCAGATACTAAAACTACTGCTGCAGCTCCATCATTGATTCCTGAAGAATTTCCAGCAGTTACTGAACCTTCATTCTGAAAATTAACAAAAAAAAAAATTTTTTTTAAATTCAAATTATTATTTAAACTCAAAAATGAAAAGAATTTTTTTTCGTGCGTGCCAAAACTTACTTTAAGGAAAGCTGGTTTAAATTGTGAAAGTAATTCTAATGTCATGTTTGATTTTGGAAATTCATCATGTTCTAAAGTAAAACTTTTATTTTTCACAGTATAAGTTACTGGCACTATTTCATTATTAAATAATTTTTTATTTTGAGCTTCAAAAGTTTTTTTTTGAGATTCTACTGCAAATTTATCTTGTTCTTCTCTAGTAATCGAATATCTGCTGACTATGTTTTCGGCTGAATAAAAAAAAAAAATTTGTTTCATTAATGTATAAAAAAAATTTAGTTATTTTTGTGTGAAGAAAAAATTTTACCTGTGTTTCCCATATGAATATTATGAAAAGCACATATTAAACCATCATGTAACATGGTATCTGTGAAGTCTGCATTTCCCATTTTAACTCCATTTCTCATATGAATAGCATGAGGAGCTTGACTCATCGATTCTTGTCCCCCTGCGACCACGATATCAGCCTCACCACAGGAAATCACCTGATAACCAAGGTTGATAGCCTTCAGTCCAGATCCACAAAGCATGCTGACATTAAATGCAGGCACACTATAAGGAATTCCAGCTCCTTTTGCTGCTTGTCTAGCAGGATTTTGTCCCTGGCCAGCAACGAGAGCTTGGCCCATGATTATTTCGCAAACATCATCTCCTTTAATATTAGCTTTTTCTAAAGCAGCTTTAATAACAATACTCCCTAATTGACAACCCTTTAATGATGACAAAGAGCCACAAAAATTTCCTGAAATAAATCAAAAAAAAATTATCTTTGGCTTTAATTTTTTTTTTTTTTTTTTATAAACCGAAAGTACCGTTACATGATCTAATTTCAACAAAAAAAAATTAAAACAATCCAATCAAGTATTTGATAATTATAATTGCTATTAATTAAATTATTAGCTTTATGAGAAATAAAAAAATTAATAAAAAATCTAAATGATATCAAGATAATAAATAATAATTAAAGAGAAATGAAAAAATACCTATTGGAGTTCTAACAGCGGACACAATGTACACAGTTGATTTGCTCATTTTTTTTTTTTTTTAAAAACCTAAAATGAAAAAGATGAAAAACTTTAAAAACATTCAAAATTAATATTAAAAATTATTTAAATATATATTTATATTATTTTATAAAATTATTTAACGTAAAAAACTAACTCAAAGTGAAAGTTGTACCGAAACCACTTGACAATTTTTATTTCCCACCGCCTTCTTGCAAACTTTAAATATTATTACATATTTACCCAACGGAATTTTTTTGAATGAAAAAGCTAGTGTGAAAATAACCGTCATTCATTATTATATTTGGAAAGGTCATATTTTTGACCTCATGAGCAAATTTAAATTTCTTATTTTAATTGTAGTAAAAAATATTAACATTCCAAAAAAAAACCAACATAATAATAATAATAAATTCATACGAAATTTTAACATTTTTTTAATATAATTTCTTTCTTTTTATTTTGTTATTAAAAACTAAAACATTGAAGACCCACCAACTGGAATTTGTAATAAAAAATAATATTTTTTTTTTTTTATTAAAAATATCTATAAGATGTTGGTAAGATTATAATAATTATTGATTACAATAAACTTTAAAAAATATAGTAGTTGAGGAAATAAACATTTTACAAAACAAAAAATTCATTCGATAATTATTACATACTTTTTTCTTTTCTTTTCATTTTTTTTTTTTTTTTATTAAAATAAACTTTTATAGAAATAAATATTATTTTTAAATGGTTACATTTTATTTTTTATTACAAAAAAAAAAAAAAAAAAAAACTGCTTACATAAAGCAATAAGATATCCTGTTTAAAACAGAATTAAATGTTATTATTATTATTATTTTTTTTTACATGTGCTTGATAACTAACTAAAAAGTAAATTTCAGTAAACATTGTTTAAATTTAATTTATTTAATACTTATTAAGTAAAAAAAATATAACCATTAAAAATTATTAAAAGGTACATAACAAAACAAACAAACAAAAAAAAAAATTGATTTACATTAACTTAAAATGTACTTTTTTTTTTTTTTTTTTAATGCAATATTTATACAATCGTATAATAATATCAAATTTATTATATTTATTTAAAATAAATCATTATGTAATCATATCAATGTACACAATTAATAAATATTATTTATAAATTTATACATTTTAAAAAATTTTTCCAAATAAAAAAATCATAAAATTGAAATAAATAATTTCTATTGCGAGTTTCATTTTTTTTTTTTTTCGAATGTAATTAATTTAATAAAATCACTCTTATTAGCTGCTTTTAAATAATTTGAAATTTATGAGAATTAAAAAAATATTAAATTAAAAGTGATTAAAATATTTTTAAAAATTCAAAATGTATAAAATAAACTAATAATAAATATAATCGAAATAATATATTGATGATGATGATGATGATAATAAATCATACGAAACATAGTTTATTATTGTAGTGGTGTTATTTTATTTATACATAAATCTTACAACCTTACTAAATGTATAACAAGTAAGGAATTTATCACATAAAAAAATTATACATATATATATATATATATAAAATATAGATTTTTTTTTTTCTTTTTTTCCTTTTGGACTGAATAAATTTTATTTACAAGCTTAACTTTAAAAATTATTCCTTTTAAATAAATTTCGCATTGCATAATTCATAACATTTTGTTAAAGCAAATTATGAAAAAAAAAAAGAAAACAACCTTTTCATATTGGGAATGCATTAAAAATATGCAAAAGTTTGTACACATAAAATATATATAGGCCATGTGTATACAAAAAAAAAAAAAAATTATTCGAGTTAAAAAAAGTCAAACATAAATAAAGTCATGACTTATTCGATGAGCAACATGATACTGATTTAGGACTTTCATAATTTTGACTTAATGTAACTGCATCACCATCATACATTTTTTCAAGTTTTTCTTCTAGACTAGACCAAATGTTAACGGCTGTGACGAAGGCATTTTCAACATTTGTCGATTCTTTAGCGCTCGTTTCTAAATATGGTAAATTTCCATTATTTTTACACCAAGAAACTGCTTCTTCTGTTGAAATTTGCCTTTGTTCATCTACTAAATCAACCTGTGATTTGAAAAACAAGTGAAATGTTCAAATTTTTTTTTAATAATTAAAAAAAATTAATTTATGATCATCTTCGATTCGAATTTACTTACTTTGTTCCCAATTATAACGAAAGGAAAATTTGCCGGGTCTTTAATATCAGCATAATGAACAAATTCATTTTTCCATTTTTCTATATTTTCAAAACTTTCTCTATCATCAAAACTAAATACTAATAAACACAAATCAGATCCTCTGTAAAATGGAGTTCTAAGACTTTTAAATCGTTCTTGACCGGCTGTGTCCCATATCTATATTTATAATTGAAAAAAAAAAAAAACCTCTCGATTTAACTTAATTGTTTTAGAAATTGACAAAAGTAATGACAACCAAATATGATATTAGAATTAGTTATTTATAAAATAGTTATTCCCAAATATCACATTTGTTTACATTAATTATCATATATATAGCAGGAATTTATAATGATCATTGACCTTTAAAAAAATATAACAATAATGTACTTACTTGAAGTATAAAAGTCTTATCATCAAGATCGATTTCTTTATTAAGAAATTCAACCCCTATGGTATGAAATGAATTTTCATCAAACCTATTATTGACATATCTTTGCATGAGACATGATTTTCCAACAGCACCATCTCCCAAAATAACAACTTTAAGGATGGCGTTTTTCCCAGACATTTTCTTTTTTTTTTTTTTTTTTTTAAAAAACAATCATTGTTTTTAATTTTTAATTTCGGATATGAAAAACTCTAAAAAGAAAAAAATTTACGCACAATTTATTATATTTTGTCTTGTTTAATTAAAAAACTTGTAAACAAATTATTATTATTTTTTTTTTTTGTTAAAAAAAAAAATTGAAGAGTAAAATTAATATTATTTACTATTTATACACGCTTAAAATTTTAATTATTCGTTTAATTAAATTATTATCTGAATAAAATAATATTTAAATAATTATACAATAATTTACCTAAGTAAAAAATTCACGGAAAACACCTTTTGTCAAGTCTAAACAGAGGAATATTACAAAACAAATTGTGTATACGACTACCAACTTAAATATTTTCATCAATACCAACTGTAATTTTTTAGATGAATATTACGACATTGTATATGACTACCAACTTAAAAATTTTAATGAATACCAACTGTAATTTTATTAGAGGAACATTACGAAACAAATTGTATACGACTACCAACTTAAAAATTTTCATAAATACCAACTGTATTTTTTTAAAATCAAGTGTCACCAAAACAAACCTCTAAATAATTACTACGATTTAAATTTTTATTCAATCTCATTTAATTTGATTTTAAAATTTATTCTCACTCTAATTTTTATTTATTTTTCAATAATCATCATATTTAACGCATAACTGTACGTAAATTAAGGAAAAAGGGAATTAATTAAAATACGCGCGTTTATTATTAAAATATTTTAATAATTTTATTTTATTTTTTTTTAAATTTTCAATATTAAATATAATTTCATTCTTTTAATTAAATAAATAAAAATAATTATTATTATTATGCTGACACCACTGCAAACTTTTATATATTTAAAAATTAAAAAACAATAATGTTCCACTCATGGAGTAGAAAAGGAAAAGCATGTTGTACCATAATTCATAATTTAACATTTATAAATAAAATATTGTGTACGCCTTTTGGCTTACCCTCGAATTCAAACGTTAAATAATAATCATATCTAAATCTAATTTACACAAAAATGATCCACTTCTTTCTCATGGATGGACGGTAAACCGATATTAAAGTACAAGTGCACTAAATTAGTCTTAAGGGTGATTGTCTTAAAATAATTAATTAATAAATTAATAATTAACGAGTCAACATTGAAAACTCATTATTCAATAGTAGGCAAATATTATTATTATTATTATTATTATTATTTTAAACGATGGATTACCACAGCTCTGAGATCCAAAAATGAAAAAATCTGTAAATATTTAACTCGTTTTTGGATGAGGGATATGTCCAAACTCGAATTGAATTCTCAACTCTCCAATATGACTGAGGGGAAGGACATCGGGGATCCATTCTATTTTAAAAGGAGTAGGTTCCAACTGATCCACTGAAGTTAATCCTAAAAAAAATTATTATTATTATTTAATTCAATTGTTTTTACTAATTTCATTTGCCTTATAAATAATAAAACCATTTCGACTTACCCACTCTAATGAAGGTTTTATACTGAGCCGGTTTTAATATCGGATGATTGTTTTTGCCGTCTTCTGATTCGACTTGAAAGTTTTCCCAAGACGGTACAAAACTACCATCTTTGTCTTTGACGAAAGCGCGAAATATTTTGAGCGGCATCTAAATACAAATTTGAATTAAATAATAATTACTTAAATTTCTTTTCGAAGAAGACGCCATTTTGAACTTACGTGTGGAGTGTCGAAGACGTAACGGACGTGCATTATGTTCGTTAAACTCCACGTGTACTTCGTGAATGTTCCCATGGGTATGGAATCTTTCCTCGTAAATGTCGTTACATTCGTGGGCACTTTCTTTTTCCTTATGAATATTATTCTTTCTTTTAATTTCTCGAAAAATTTCTAAAACCAAAAAAAAAAATTATTTCCTCATATTCATTTATAAAAGTTAAAAATCAAAAATTTAAAATAACCTGTGGCACGTGAAAAACTAACGGATTCGGTTTTCCATCGAATTGATAATGCATGTGTTGATTTATTGTTTCCGTTACGGTACCCAACCACTCGGTAAAATTTAAATTTACTTTACTCACAGGTGCTAAAAAATAAAATTTTTTTCAATTTAGTTTATTTAACGAATAAGATTCTTTTTGAAAAATTCTAAATAAGGTACCTGAGCAATCGACTTTAGGAGCTAGCTGAGGCATGAAATACGAATCTGACATTTCAATATCTGAACCCATGACTGTTTCCAATAACAATCCAGAATTAACATTTGAAAATGTTGAAGAAGATTCGACTGATTGAATACAAGATGGTATGCTTGTTATAGAATGGAGATCTAGTGAAGCATTAAGAGAAGGAAGATCGATTGATGATATGAGAGATGTCGCTGGCAAGTCCATTGTTGTTGTCGATATTAATGTTTCTCCTTCAATAGGAACTAATTCTTTAGTATTTATATCGCAAGGATTTGTTATATCTTCTAAAAAGGAACTTTTATTAATTGAATAACCCAATGAATCACTATCCATTGCAACCTATTTAAAAAAAAAATTATTTTTTATTCAAGTACTCAAGAAAATTATTGTTAAAATTGATTTATTATTATTTTTTACTTTTAGAGATCCGATCGATTGACTGTTGATGTCATTTTGAGAAGAAAATATAATTTCATCTTCTGTTATATTTTCCGATAAGATATTACCAACATCCTCTCTGAAAACTTCAACTTTACATTCGGATTCGTTTAAAATTTTCGAAAGTGGGTCCGGATCATTTTCAGCCAATTTAGTAAACACTGTAATGAAATATTAAAAAAAAAAAAATTTTTTGAATTAATTTCAAACAAATTACAAAAACTGAAATTTATTTAGAGTATTTACTTACTTTCAACATTTGTTTGTACCAAAGGAGTAAGTAATGGAATTTCCAATTTAATAAAAGATGAAAATTCTTCACATAAATTAACATTGTTTACAAAGGCACATATGCAAGCATAAAAATGTGGACAACGAATTTGTTCCTCCTTATTACGAGTTTTTACATTTTCCTAATAATTTATTCACTTTTAAAAATTTATTCATAAAATAAAAAAAACAAATTTTTTTTTCTTAAATTAAAATAAGTTTTAAATTCTAACCTTAAATGTAGAACAGGAACATGAAAAATGATTTTCCGATTCTCCTTTAATTGTCATATTAAATGAAAAGTGTAAATACCCTAGGGGATGTTTTGGACTAGCTTTGCACTTAACTGCCATAATATTTTTAGAAACTCTTTGAACAACTGGACCAACAGCTTCTGATAATAAATTCCAAACATCCTACAAACAAGAAAAAATTTTTGTTAAATTTTCCGATATTATTACAACTATAAGTATTGTAATCGTACAAAATGACTTACTTTCTTAATTTCATCTGCTATGTTTAAAATTTCTAAAACAGAAGTATTAACTGCTAAAGGAACTGCTTCAGAAAAACATCTAAGAGCTGCTTTTATATGATTACAAAGAACTGGACTTATTTTGCCATCTCTTTCCTACGAAACATAAACGATGGTTAAAAATAATTTATTCTCCAAGCAAGAAATTTTAAATAGATTTAATGATATAATCTCAGACTCACATGACATTGTAAAATACTGCTATTAAAATTTCTTTGACATGGTTCGACAAAACACAAAGCAGTGCTTTGACTGATTAGAATACTTTCATCATAAGTTAGAGTAGATGATTGAATAAGTGGCAATTGAACGAAACCTCTATAATCAGGACCCTTATCTCTAACCCTAACAGAGAATACCTAAAAAATTTTATTAAAAAAAAAAACAAAAACTCATTAAAATGTCAATGATAAAATAAATTTTTGAATGGATTTAAATTAAAAAAAAATTACTCTTGTCGAAGTTCCAGTATCTAATCTACAAGCTTCCATCGAAAATTTTTTTCGGCCCCCAGATTCCTTAAATACAACATCGCATGATTTAT